ATTTCGCTAGACACCCTGGTAAGGCTTTCTGAAGTGTACTGATGCACAGTGGTTTATAGTCGAAAAACGGGGTTAAAAATAGCGTAGAGCACGTAAATCTTGACCGATTTTTATTCTTTTTTTTCTAAACACTCGTCATTAAATTCCTAAGAGATCGCTCGAGGCAGATTTTTTAAAAAAAGCTTCAATTTTTTTTTATTTATTTATAAACATTAAAAAAAACACTTTTTTCATAAAAGTAGTGCTCGTTTGTGATATAATATGTGCATTCATCGCTTATAGAAATAAATTAATATAAAATCATCAAAGAAACATTATCCAATTGAGAGAATAGAAAATAGTATATTCCGTAACGAGTGCGAGCAGTTGTCAATTTTTGAACGAGCACTTTTTTTGGAACAAACTGTAGGCGAAGCGAATTCGCCTACAGTTTGTTCCAAAAAAAGTGCTCGTTCAAAAATTGGCAACTGCTCGCACTAGTTACAAACGATATTTTTCATAACAAGGTGCTAAAAAGTGCCCTTTTTTGCACCGCGTTATGAAATTTTTTTTGTATTTGTTATAAACAATTCAGAGACTAAAAACTTGATTTTTTAAAATTTTACTATATTTTATAGTTTAAAAGTTATATTTATGGGACAAAGAATATTTTATGATACCTGTAATTAAGATATTGAAAAAAAATATTTGTTAATTAAATTAATAATTAATTAAACATTTTTAATAAACAAATAAATAACAGAAATGTTTCTTATAGCAAATTTTTTATTTTTCATGCAGTTGACTAGTAAAACCTTTCATTCTTTCAACATATTCCATTATAATGTTTAAACAATGAAATAACACCGTTGAATTATTTAAACAATTTTAATTAACAAATACCTAATATTATTAATTTTTACAAGGAAGTAATTTTTTTACACAAAATCATGTTAATACAACCAACTTACATTTAAAAGTAGTAGAATAAAAATATAACAATTCAATAATCAATTATTTAAACAATTTTAATTAACAAATACCTAATATTGTTAATTTTTACAAGGAAGTAATCTTTTTTTACACAAAATCATTTTAATACAACCAACTTACATTTAAAAGTAGTAGAATAAAAATATAACAATTCAATAATCGATTATTTAAACAATTTTAATTAACAAATGCTAAAAAAATGTTAATTTTAATATTTCAACTATTTAAGAAAAGTACGTTTTTTATAATTGTAAGGAAATGAAACGGCCTTATAATTTAATGTCATATCTGTTTTATTTAAACTTATGCATTAGGTAATTGTTTAAAAATTTTATTTTTCTATTCATTTGATAAAACTTTAATTAACAAATGCGTCATTTTATTAATTTTTTATATATAGATCTCTTTTTCTAAAACTAATAATAGTAATATTAAACTAATAACTAATAATCATTAAACATACGTAATTAAATTGTTGTAATTTTGCAGAAATCATTATTGTGTTCGAAACACTTTTTTATTATTCTGATTTTTGTTTTCATTTAAAGAAAAAAATTTATTTTCTGTAATCTTTCATATAAACCATAAAATGTTACATTTGGTAATCGCTCAACTTTTTATTATTTAACAGACCAAGTCTAAAGTTACATTTTACAGAACAGAAAAATATACTCTGTTAAGGATGATCGCAACATAAATGTATAGAATGTACACTGTATTAATATATTTATATATAGGATAACAATTTAATTATTAAGATCTGTACAGAAAAAATTAATAAAATGACGCATTTGTTAATTAAAGTTTTATCAAATGAAGAAAAAAAATTTTTTTAAACAATTACCTAATGCATAAGTTTAAATAAAATAGATATGACATTAAATTATAAGGCCGTTTTATTTTCTTACAATTATAAAAAACGTACTTTTCTTAAATAGTTGAAATATTAAAATTAACATTTTTTTAGCATTTGTTAATTAAAATTGTTTAAATAATCGATTATTGAATTGTTATATTTTTATTCTACTACTTTTAAATGTAAGTTGGTTGTTTTAAAATGATTTTGTGAAAAAAATATTACTTCCTTGTAAAAATTAACAATATACATAATAATAATTTGCTATTCCGTGAACAAAAAGTGTCGCCTTTTGTTTTTCTATATAATTAATGTTTTGATGACAGATATGTTTTAAAGTATTGTTTCTATTTTTGTGGTTAAAAATTAGGGGCGCATAACTTCCCCCAAATTCTACTTTATACAATTATAATTGTTATTTAGAATTTTAAAATTTATAAACACCAATTGCTCTTAAGGTGAGTGGCTATAATTTAATGACAACATTATTACAATTTTTAAATTTTAATTTTTAAATACAATCGTTAAAAATATATTTATTTCTCATAATTTTTATGAACTATTTTTATTTATTTGAAATAATGATGGTTTTATAGGATATTTTTCAAATAACATAAATTTAAATACGCGAAATAATATTTTACATAATTTTAATTTAATGGAAGATATAATTTTTTATAATCTCTATTGCATATAATCAACAATAGATTTTCTAATATTTATATATAGAATATAGAATATAGAATATAGAATATAGAATATAGAATATAGAATATAGAATATAGAATATAGAATATAGAATATTCTACGAATTACGTATTCAGTGACATAAAATAAGAACTAAGCAATAATGTTAGCATTAAATTTTAGATATCTACTTTTTAAGTAAATAATAATTATAAAGTTTAAAATTCCATGAAATAACAGTTATATAGAGTTAAATTTGGGGAGAGTCATACGTCCCTAAATATTGACAATTTAAGGAATTAAAAATTTGTAATAATAATTTTTTTGTTCCTGGTTTAAATAATTCTTTTGGCGAGTTTCTTACAATTTTTTTAAAATAATGTTTTTTTTAATAATTTTAATTGAAAATTTGATTATTTAATTTTATTAAAATGTTATTGATAATAATTGAATTTCTGCAAAGAATTTTACTATTTATGAAAGTAATTGAATACTTCCAAAGAATGTTATTATTTGTGAAAGTAATTGAATGTTTGCGTAGAATTTTATTTATTTATTCAATTATAGACGGGACTTGCCCTTTTGTACATAAGTACTCTTAGCCTAATATAATATTATTTATAAAAATTAAATCACTTAAAAACTAGGTTAGCTACTATTTATCAATTAATATAATTTTCCGCAATAAAGAGGTGAATCTCCTTTCATTCTCATCAAAGAAATCTATATTTACCGAAATTTCATTTGCCTCTCTACTAAGTCTGTTAATTAATGAATGCAACCCATAATTCGTTCTGTACAACTGTACTGCAAATAAGCAGCATTTCCTTGTAGGCCTTGTCGGAGCATATTTAATCGACAACAACAAAGATGGGCAATCAATTTTACCATTTATCAATTTATATAAAAAGATCATATCAGCAAACATGAATCTTGATTTTATCAAAGGCATTCCAAAAGCTTAACGTAAATTTCTACATATAATCATGAGTAAACCTATCAAAAGGAATTCCAATTTGTTTTGCCGTAAATCGAAGAAATCTATTCTGTACTCGCTCAATTCGTATCATATAAAACGTATAGAATGGTACCCAAATCACCGACAGATTTTCGAACAAGGATCTCACAAGAGAAAAATATAAAACTTTAAGTGTACTTAGACTACGAAAAGAAGAGGCACTTCTCATCACAAATCCGAGCATCCTCAAGGACCTAGAAATCACTTCCAATATATGATTATTAAAACAAATATTACTATCAATTAGTAGACCCAAATCTCGTATCTGATTAACCCTTACAAACTCCTGATTGCCAATGGTATAACAATATATTAAAGTTTGCCTTTTAGAAAAAGATATAATAGAACTTTTATTCATATTTATTGACATCAAATTGTTGTCACACCATTTACCTAAACAATCTATGTCAGTTTGTAATCCATTTTTATCTTGACAGGGTTCATCAGGGCCAATCAGTTTATAGCACTTGAGGTCATCAGCATATAATAAAAATAACGAATTCTTAAAAACTAGCCTAATATCATTCATGTAAATAATAAATAAAAGTGGTCCAAGATTTGATCCTTGTGGGACACCAGATGTTGCTAAGAAACAACATTTTTAATTTTATTAAAATTTTTGAAAAAATGAATTGTACAGAACAATTTAATTATTTATAAAAATAATTAAAATTTTGATAAGAATTTAAACAAATTTTTAAATATAATTGAATTTCTGCGAAGAATTTTATTACATTTGAAAATAATTGAGTTGTTTTTTAGAATTTTATGGAAATTTATGAAAATAGCTGAATTCTAGTAAAGGATTCTTTTTAAAAATAGTATTCAAAAGAATTTAGTAAATCTAAAGAATTTTGCAACTTACAGAAATAATTAAATTCTTTAGAAAAATTTTTTACTGTTTCTAGAAATAATTGAATTCTTTCGACGAATTTTAATAAAATTTTTAAGAATAATTACATTTTTCCAGGAATTTGATTAAAATTGTCTTAAAAATAATTGAAATTCTGCAATGAGTTTTACTATTTATGAAAATAATTGAATATATTGTGAAGAAAATTTTAAAAAATAAAATTATAATTATGGTGACTAACTTCCCCTGATTATTTTCAAAAAATTTAAATAAAATTCTTTAAAAAAATTTTAAACACATCGATATTATAATCGATATGTTTCAATTTGTAAAAGGAACAAAGAAAAATGTTGTCTCACAAAAATCGAGAATTTATTCTGAAATGGTGAATACGGAAAATTTTTTAGAGAAGTGACAAAAAATTACAATATATACCAATATTAATTAGTAAAAAAGAGAAAACTGAGAGACAATTTAAAATTTTGCGATTGTTAAGTAGTTCAACAATTATTCCATCTTAAGTTCAGAAAGTTTTCATTAAATTCATTATAATTTTTATCAAAAACTTTTAGCACACGGAAAACATTTTTTCAGTCAAAGTTCCCGAACTGTACCTGAACGGTGGATCCTTTCGTAAAAACGAGGTGTGTAAGATCGACTAACTTCAAGTGTAGAACTTTTTCTTGTTTGGCTCTTTTTCAAAATCCTTTACTTTGATTTGATATAATCGTCGTGACACTACTTACTGATGTCAAAGCAGCTAACTTCAAGTGTAGAACTTTTTCCTCATTGGCTGAATTTTATAATGATGGTGACCTCACACTTTTATATTTTCGTTTTTCTTTTTTAAAATTTAAAATTAAAAAAATAATTAATTAAAATTATTAACTAAAAGTTAACTAAAAGTAGTTTAATATAATAATTTTTAATTATGGTTTGGTTTGTAATAAATTAAAAGTTTAATATTAAAATATATTTAATTTTATGATTCATTTTAGACACTTCAAAATTGTTGCGCGCGCATCTTTTTTCCAAACAAAAATTGTTTGTTCGCTATAGCTATGTAACCTCACCTCAGTGTGAAACGCATAGTTTTTGATACGGAAAATTACGAAATGTTACAAGTGTTAGCAACTGTCAGCCATTTGCAAAGTGTGACACGTGTATTGTTTCGATAAGAAATATTGACTGTTATTTACCGAGTGATTTTTCTTCTGAAAGTGTTGATTGTGAATTTTGTGGTTTTGTTTTTTGTATATTAAAAAAAGTTAAAGTACATTACATACGTTACGTACGTAAGTATTAAAATACATGTAAATACTAATTATATTTTTTGCTAATATTATTTGTATATTTATTAGGAGGAGTTTGTAAATATAATGTGAATTATTTAATTTATTAATTAATTAATTATAAATTTAATTAAAGTTAAAGACATTAATTTAATTAAATTAAAGTTTAAAGGAATAAAGGACATTTGCCTGTTATTTTGATTTCTGAATGTAGAATATTAATTGATTTTTTTAAATTCTGATGTTTGTATATTACATAATTATATTATAGTGGTAATAATTGTGATTTAATATTGATTTATATTTGTTTTCTTAATCTTAATTATTGATTTTTCAACATTTTGGTAGTTAGTTATTATTATTTATTATTTGGAAAAAACTTTATAAATATTAAAGATAAGTACTAAAAATAACATGTGATTACGAGATACCAGATACTTGATAAACAGAGATTTAGTCAAGAGGTACTAGATTAACAGATACTAAACAGCTACAAAACAGAAAAGCTTACAAAAAATACGCATATATTTATTGTTGATAAAATATATAAAAATTAAAGATAAGTACTATTGATAACATGTGATTACGAGATACCAGATACTTGGTAAACAGAGATTTAGCCAAGAGCTACTAGATTAACAGATACTAGAATAAAAGATAAAAAAATAAGAAATATAAACAGATACAAAACAGAAAAACTTACCAAAAATATACTTATATTTAATAACTAGCTGTCGTACCCGTTTTCGACGGGTTTTAGTTTCTACTAATATATTTGAACAGGTGTCTACCAATTGGGAATTTAATTTGACTGGGAAAAACTAATAATTTTATTAGTTACCATTAACTATTTCATTATCAAAATATTACCATTTGAATCAGTAAATGACTTTTTCTATCAAATACTATTTTCAACTAATTCAGATTTACAGAACAGTATTTGTCAATTTGTAGTACTTTATGCGTTCGTAGTATTTTAATTAATGCATTAACGGCGTTGGAGGTCGGGAACTGTCAAGTGTTGCCAACCCACTCTCCCCCACTGTCCAGTATGTTTCGTGTAATTTTCCACTTTGATCACTTTTTAAAAAAAAACAAAGAACTTAATCAAAAAAAGGGCTCTTTACCTTAAAATAAAATTAAATAAAGAATTAGTAAAAATTTACTTTGTCTCGATACGATGTTTCTACTAGCCACAATATGGTTATTACGATGACAATTTACAGATGTAGTTGGCTTGATATGGGGAAAAAATGGCCGCACAACAGAAGGTGGAGTAAAGCGGGGTTGCCTACGTAAAGGCATAACAGTATCATAATACAGGGCAGTAAGTTTTATTTTGTTGAAAATTATAAAAATAACATTTTGCAGTAATAAAAACTAATATAATTAATATAAATAAATGGGGTTTTGTTTATAATAATATACATAATATAAAATATGTTGAATTAAAACGAAAAATATGAAAAACATTTTTTTTAAATTTTGTTATTCATTAAAATAATTTTTTAAAGAGATTAAAAATAAAAATTGCTAATTAGTACCCCTAGAGGTACAATTTATTGAATTGTAATTAATGAAAATAATAAAAATGACAAATATACAGAATTTTGAAAAATTAAATTATTTATACCTAAAAATTGAATTTTTTTGTATTATTATATGTAAAAATTAATTAATTAGTAATTGGAAAATTATATAAAATTAAAAATTATTTATTAATTAAAAAACCGTAAAAATATGTATTATTTTTTTCCTTATATATTGGTTACATTATTAGTTATCATGTTTTCTAGTCTATAAAAATTTATTTATTTTAATCCTTTGTATAAAAATAATTAATGTAATTATGTTTTTTTATTCCTCAATTATATAAGATAATAAAAGAAATTTATCGCTAATAAATTTTCTATTCTAAAACAATAATTACTTATTCTACTATTTTGAAGCCCCTTTCAATAGGCGACCAATTTATAAGTTTATTTTTTATGTTGAAACTGTCAATTTGTATAGCGAAAACAATATTGACGCTCGTTGAAAAATCGTATTATTAAAAACAAATTTTTTCTTAAATCGTTATTTCATATATAATCACAATAAAAAGCCTCCTTTTTTTATAAGTTTCTGCTTTTTCTCTTTCCATTTAAATTATCCAACACTTTCAACTGCTTCATACAAAACTTTTTACTTTGACAATTTTTTATAAAATAATTTGACACTTTCTCAAAAAAGGGCTCTTTATCTTAAAATGAAATTAAATAAAGAATTAGTAAAAATTTACTTTGTCTCGATACGATGTTTCTACGAGCCACAATATGATTATTACGATGACAATTTACTGATGTAGATGACTTGATTTGAGAAAAAAATGTCCGCACCGAAAGGTGGAGTAAGGCGGGGTTGCCTACGTAAAGGCATAACAGTATCATAAAACAGGGCAGTAAGTTTTATTTTGTTGAAAATTATAAAAATAATATTTTGCAGTAATAAAAACTAATAGAATGAATATAAATAAAGGGATTTTTGTTTATAAAAATATACATAATATAAAATATGTTAAATTAAAACGAAAAATATGAAAAAAAAAATTTTTTAATTTTGTTATTCATGAAAATAATTTTTTAAAATGATTAAAAATTAAAATTGCTAATTAGTACCTCTAGAGGTACAATTTAATAAATTGTATAATTAATAAAAATATTAAAAATGACAAATATACAGAATTTTGAAAAAATTAAATTATTTCTAAAATTTATTCAATATTTTTGTATTATTTTGGAAAATTAGTTAATTAGTAATTGGAAAATTATATAAAATCAAAAATTAATTATTAATTACAAAATCATAAAAAAGTATTAATTTTTACCTTATATATTTGTTAAATTATCTTTAATCATGTTTTCTTGTCTATAAAAATTTATTTATTTTATTCCTTTGTATCAAAATAATTAATTTAATTATGTTTTTTTATTCCTCAATTATATGAGATATTAAAAGAAATTTGGAGCTAATAAATTTTCTATTATAAAACAATAATTACTTATTCTACTATTTTAAAATCCCTTTCTATAGGCGACCAGGTCATATAAGTTTATTTCCGACATCAAAGCTGTCAATTATTTGTATAGTGCAGGGCTGATAAAAATCATGACTTTTTTAAAAAATTCATTTTTTTTATTTAAATCATTTTTTTAAATATTTTAAATATTTAATTATTTTATAAGTAGTTTGTTTTTTAATATTAAAAATTATAAAATTAATAATAATAGGGTGGATGGAAAATTTTATTTTAAGAATTCTCTGACATTTCCTGACTAATTTTTCGGTTTCCCTGATTAATAAATTTTTTAATTATTTAATATTCTGCATTGATAATTAAAAATTTTATAATGCTTTTTAAGTAACAATTTTATTTAGAAAGAAAAACATAAGATAATTCAAAATTGTTTGTTAAAAAAAAATTTTAATGTGTTTAAAACTTTTATTATGAAAAAAAGTTAATGAAAATTTACAATTTAAATCGTGCTCAAAAAGTTATATTTATTTATTTAAATATAAACCGCCAATGCCCGTTTATCAAATATTATACAAAAACTAAATTGACTTTTATCAAAGTTTTTTAATTTGTGGTTTTTTTCGATTTAAATTCCCTGACTTTTCCCTGAACAAAAAAATTCTCTGATTTCCAGTTATTCTGTAATTTGAGTCAAATAAACAAAACTAATAATTATTATGTTTACTTTATTATCTCTGTAATGTATTCTTTTTTATTTTTATGAATTCAAAACTTTAAACCAAAATACTAATTTTGCAAACTTTTCTGTTTCTAATGCATTTTGCAGTTTGATTTAAATCATGATTTTAATGACAAGATTTAAATCAAGATTAAAATCATGATTTAAATCAAGTTGATTTAAATTATTGCAGCCCTGGCTATAGTGAAAATAATATTGACGCTCGTAGAAACATCGTATATTATTACAAACAGATTTTTACTTAAATCCTTATTTCATATATAGAATTTTAATAAAGAGCCCTTTTCTCTATAAGTATCTGCTTTTATTCTTTCTTTTTAAATTATCCAACACTTTCGACTGATTTTTATGAAACTTTTTACTTTGTCAATTTTTAAAAAATAATTTGACACTTTCTCAAAAAAAGAGCTCTTTACCGTAAAGCGAAAATAAATAAAGAATTACCTAATTAAAATTTATTTTGTTTCGATATGATGTTTTTATAAGCCACAATCTTATTTCCACCATAAAAATTGAGAGCTGAATGTGACTTGTGGAAGAAAGTGTCCAGAAATTTTGTGAAGGTTGCCTATACGTAAAAGACTAACAACATCAAAAAACTAGGAATTAGTAATTCAATTTGTCAAGTAATTTAAACGATATTTTGCAATAATGAAAGTTAAATATAAGAAACATAAATACCCGTGTAGAAATGGTGGTCGGGTTCTAGTGGGGACCTCACCAGTTTACCCCATTTGAAAAAGGGCTCCAACTAGAGAAACTGGTGGGGTTCTACTCGATTTTGTCACGCTCTAGTTGATAGGGCCCCGACTAGAAGTTCTAGTTCACTTCTACCGGTTTTAAAAATTATTATTTTTCAACTTAACTTATTTATAATTGAATTCTCCATTCATATTAACATTATTAATGATTGTTGCACACGAAAAATCTCGTGCCTATGAGGGTTCGAACCTTGGACCTTGGGGACACCAGACGGATACACATACCTCTCGGCCATGATAGGTTGGATGGACTTCCGCTTAAAGTACATCCCGTTTGGAAAT